CCATGGCCCGCCTGCAGCGCCCGCATCCGCAGCTGCTGCAGCGCCTGGCGGCGGCGCTGCTGGCGGCGGAGGGCGGCAGCGATGGCGGCGGCGGCGAGGCGGAGCATGCGGACCCGACCCTGCCACGGCAGCAGCAGCAGCAGGAGCAGCAGCGGCAAGAGGAGGAGGAGGAGGAGCAGCAGCAGCGCGGGAAGCAGGAGCAGCAACACGTACGGCGGCCGCAGCGCCCCGGCGGCAGCAGAGAGGCCGGCGGCGGCGTCAGCCTGGCAGACTGCGATTCTCGCAGCCTGTGCCTGCTGCTGTGGAGCCTGGCCAGCCTGCGTGCCTGCCCGCCGGCGCTGCTGGCGGCGGGGTGCGCCACGCTGCGGCGCGCTGGGCTGGGTGGGCTCAGCGTGCAAAGCATGACGCAGGTGCTGCAGGCCCAGGACATGGTGGGGCGCTGGGACCAGCCGCTGGTGGAAAGAATCTCGGCTGAGCTGGCGCTGCGCTGGCACCGCTCACTGGAGCAGCAGCAGCAGCAGCAGGAGCAGCAGCAGCAGCAGGGCAGCGGCGACGAGCGGCGACCACAGCGTGCACAGCGGGGGCAGCGTCCTTTCCACCTCAACGAGATGGACTGCTCCATCCTCGCCCGCTGCCTGGCGCTGGCCTGGCACCAGGCGGTGGCGGCCTCGCCCGTAGGGGCCGAGGCCTCCGGTGCGTGAGGCCGCCATGCCAGCGCTGGCCCCCATGGGACCTCCCTCCTGCAGGGGAGCCCCCATGGGCCCTGCCGCTGTGCTGCACGTGCAGCCCCCAGCGCCGTGCGCTGCTTGTTCCATGCAGCTGCCCGGCCCCGCTCCCTGCTCCGCGCACACGGCACACACCAGACCCGGCCCCACCTCCACACACTACCTGCCTGACCGCTGGCCTCGCAACCCTGCCTGCCTCCCCGCAGAGAACCGGCTGGCGCTGGGCAAGGCGATGCAGCGGCACATCATGGCGTCGCCGCACCGCCGCGGCGTGGCGCGCCTGCTGGCCGCCGCCTCGCGCCAGCTGGCGCCGCGCCTGGCGCCGCAGGCGCTGTCCTGTGAGCAGCCGCCGCCGTGCCCTCCCTCCCCTGCTGCCGCCCTCCCTGCTCCTGATTTGGTGCTGTTCGGGTGCTGCCCTTCCCCGGGCCCTCGCCTGCCCGCAGCCTGCCTTGGCGCCCCCGGCTCCCACCTGCCCGCTGCCCAAGCCCACCCCTGCCTGTTCTGCTTCCTGCCTTGCCCGCAGCTCTGGCCCACTCGTTCGCCGCCATCGGGGGCTGCCCCTGGGACCTGCTGGAGGAGCTGGCGGCGCGGGCGGTACAGCTGGAGCGCCAGCTGGATGCGCAGGTACGGTGGTACTGCAGAATGGTACTGCAGCAGCCCTGTCGGCAGCCTGGGCTTCACCCTACGCCTGCACCAGTTCCACTCACGCGCCCTGCATGGGTGCCTGCTCCCCTCCCTGCCGCCAGGCTGTCGCCAACCTGGCATGGGCCTACAGTACACTGCGGTACGACCACCCCCAGCTGTACGACAGCCTGGCGGCAGCCGCGCTGCGCCTGCTGGCCGCGCCCCCGCCGGCCGCCGGCACCGCCTCCAGCCGCGGCGGCGGCGGCGGCGGCGGCGGCCGCGAGGGCTTCACCGCGCAGGCGGTCAGCGTGGTTGTGTTCAGCTTCGCCTCCGCCAACCGCTGCCACAGCCCCGTGCAGCGCGAGGTGGGCAGGCTGCCGGGCACCTCCCTCTGTCCCTCCCTACACTTGCTGTGTGCTGCTGCCGCCCGCCACGCCAGGCCGGGGCCCGCTCCTACAAGCGCTGAGTCGGCCTTTCGCCTGGCGTCTTCACGTCGCCCCCGCCTGCCCCTCCCTCCCCTCCTTCCCGCCAGCCCCCTGCCTCTCAAACCCCGCCTGCCCTCCCCCTCTCGCCGGCCGCAGATGTTTCTGGCCCTGGCGGACCGAGCGCTGGAGCTGCTGCCGCAGTTCACTCCGCAGGGGCTCAGCAACCTGGCGTGGGGGCTCACAGTGGCCGCATGCTACCCGCCAAAGGTGGCACCCATCACCTTGCTGCCTGCTGCTGCCTTCCGGTGCCTGGCTGCTGCCTGCTGGTGCCTGGCTGCCTGCTGCCGCCGCCCCCCGCCGCTCCACCTGCCGCTGCTGCCACAGCCAGGCCGCTGGCAGCGCGGAATGCCCCCTGCGTGTTCACCTGCCCCCCCTGCC